TTTTATTGTAATTTAATTAATATTTACTGTTGTTTTATTGTAAACCGCCCAGAGTCACTTCGTGAGATGGACAGTATCTAAATTTGAAATAGAAATAAATAAACAAACAAACAAACATCTACAATAGTATGGCCACATTACGAACAGCACCCCACACTGCTGCCTGCAACGCCTACCATTTTAATACCGACAACAAACGCCCATGCGGAAGACCAAAGCAAAGGTGGCAGGACACAGTTGATGTGGACATGAAGATCACCCAGGTAGACCCGGTTGCTGTGTTTGATTGCGTGATATGGTGTTAGTTGACCTGAAAAGCGCTAGGAAGAAAAATAACATATTATTATTTATTTATTAATGAATATGTACTAAATATTAATAAACAAGTAAAAAGTAAAAACTAAGACACTGAAGTGACTTGGTCAACTGTGATGGTTCCTATCTACAGAACATTGGAAGCAGGCACTGCTGTTAGTAAGTAATGTATGCAATATCTTTTATAGGTCAAAAATGGAAGTTCTTTCAAATTTTTATATGAATAGTTGCATTCTTCAGGAATAATTGATTGGGGGTGCATGCAGAAATCAACACAGCCAAAGCTAGCAGTGAGTAGGCCTAGAATAAAACAAAGGGTGGGGCCACTTGATCTTTCTCTTTTTCTGTTACCCTCTTTTGTCTCTTTCTGTCATCTTCTTCTCAATTTCCCTGCTACCTGATTCATGTTTATTTTTACATCCTGCTCCAGAAAGCAATTCTTCAAGTGGACATGTCTGCTGGCAGTGAAAAAAACAAATTGGAGAAAGAGTTGTCATCCACCATTTCTGCTATTATGACTTAAAAAATAAATGGTATTTTATGTGACCACTTGTTAGAGATTTTATCACTGCTTTGAACCGAAGAGCTTTTTAACTACTAGGTGAGAAATAGAGGAAGGGAGTGTTTTCACATGCTGCCCATGTGTCTGTTTCTCATGTAGCCTGCAAATAAAATGAGTCTCTGTGCTTAAGAGACAGATAGAACTTCTTGCTTGCTTTCAGATACAGCTTAGGTGGAAGTGTGGTTATCTTATGTATTTCTTAATAAACCTAACTTTTACTTCAAATGTAATGAATGTGTCTTACATTCACTGATGGCTGTGCTAAGCCCATACTCTGTATCCAAGACAACTATATCATGAGCATTTTGTTTATTATTTTAAAATAGGACCAGTTGCTACTTAATGACGCAGTATCCTTTTAGCATTCTGTGTATGCTTAGGAGCACATCCTCCAACTCCTGTTGAATTCAAATCTCCAACATCACTTTTCTGTAAATAATATGAAATAATAGTAAAACTCTGAATGGGAGAACACCAGATCTTTGAATTGCCTTCAAAAATACCATACAAGTAAATAGCACTGTATGCTTCGAAATAAATGGAGTCTACAAGGGTTTCTGTTCAGGGTTTCTGCTAATTGAGAGAACTCTGAGACACCCACATTTCTGCAGCTGTCGGTAGATTTCATTACACTATTATCAATGAAGTCAATCTTAATCCTTCTAGCCATCACAAGCCCTGTAAAAAAAATGCCTGGCCTGTATTCCCAGTTTATAGAAGCCACATGCATGGAACTCCTGCCTTATCCTTTCTCCCATTCCCTGGGTTCAAGGGAGTAATTTTTCTCTTAGTGTCCTCCTACACATGCATACCTGCTATAACGAATTTAAACAGAGAATTTAATTTCTCATCTCCTGTCCCCTGTTTGATTGTGTCACTCTATTATAACCACTGAGCATGCTCAGCTTTCACTGGATTCCTCCCTCCCTCCCTTCCTTGAGATTCCCTACCCATGCTGCTATTTCCTTTTGTCTGGTTCCTGTCCTGTTGACACTCTTTGCCTGATCTCACTAGTGGGAATAATCATTACACTCCCGTTAGCTCAATTATCGTATCCTATTCTCTCTCTCCATCCAGAAATATTCCTTGCAATATATTGCATTATCTTTTTGATCAAGCACTAATCAGCCGGTAATCCCAGTATTATGGCTATCCAATGTGCCTATCTGGCATAAAAACATATGGCTAACTACTCCTTGTGAAATAATTTGTTCTTATTGGGGGAAGTTTTTATGATGTACTGAAATAGAGTAGACTTCAGAGTTTTTAAATTCCAGAAGTAATTTCCCCTAATTATTTAATTTGAACATGCTTTATTTCCGTGCATCAACGCTGTTGTTATTTATGCTATTGTTAATTTGGGTTATGTATCTGTGTAATTATAATGAGATAGAAAAAGCTAACATTTGCAGACAAATCATTCCTAATATACTTCCATTGTAAAGATAGCAATTTATCAAAGAATAACCATTTTAGTGGTTATTCTTTTTGACATGCTTTAAACAGTTTGTACATATGCAAGAAAATCTTACCCTGCTCTCCTTTCCACAAAGAGGTATAATGGGTGGGCCCATGCCTACTTGGTAAACAGTCCCAGGGTCAGTCCCTAATCTCTAAGTAAGGCTGGAATAAAAGTGACCTGAAACCACTTGAGAATTACTGTCGGCCAATGTTGAAAGTGCTAGGCTAGATAGATTCAGTTGACAAGGTAACTCAATACAACACACTAAACCATAATGTGAGTCATTTGGTTTGGGCTTATTGTGTTGTATGAAACCAGGCAACTGGGCTTATTGAAAATGTTACCCCAGTTCAAAAACATGGTTAACAAGATCAGGGTGAAGCATCACAAGGCAGTGTCTTACATCCATACGTTCTACTGAAACAACTACTGTACAAACAGGCATGAGATCCGGCTAGGTTATGGTGGTGACAGTAAGGGACTGAGTTGTGAATGGAGTCGACTCAGGCACGAAGTGTGCCTTTGTTTTGAACTTACCTTTGCCAATAATAACAACAATATTGATTCATATAATTAGAAAATGAATGTGAAACGCTTTGAACATTTGACAATGCTTAGCCTTATTATTGTGGCGTGAGTGGTAAGAACCATAGGAGTGACCATATTTAAACATTCTGAAATCTTATATGGTACCGTATAACTACAGTACCATCGCTTATCCCACCTCCTCCCTTTCCCATTTAGCTGGGTGCTGCAATACTGTAACTTCTGTGAAGAAAGTGGTTAGTAATAGAATTTAGAGAAATATTTACTGCCTGTGAAGAAATTCTTTCAGTATATTATGTGTGTGGACAAAGAAGCTGCAAAACTAGAAACACAGGGGGCCACAAGAGTAGCAATAGGCTAAGAAGCAGAAATAATCACAAACAGATAAAGGATGGGAGACTTGACAGCAAGGGATCAGAAGAAACCTTACATGTTTTGGTTGGATTAAAAAAAATGTATTGAATTACACAAATTGATTTGAATCTGTCAACCAGACACTCGCAGGTCACCAATGGTACAGTATTATGTCTTTACGTATTCATTTTTAAAAATTGCTTCTCATGTTGGGAATAAAAGCTATGTTACTTTTTCTCAAACAGATGATATGGGGTGGGCAAAAATGTTCTCCTGTTGTGTGTGTGTGTGTAACTTCGAGTCAGTTTTTGACTTCTGGCAACTGCCTGGACTAGTCCCTGCAGCTTTCTTGGCAAGATTTTGGAAGTGGTTTGCCATTTCCTCCTTTCCTAGGGCTGAAAGAGTGGCTGGCCCAAGGTCACCCGGCTGGCTTTGTGCCTAAAGTGGGACTAGAACTCATGGTCTTCCGCCTGATGCTGTAACCACTACACCAGACTGGCTCTCCTCATGTTTTAAAAAAGCCGCTCAATGCATCCTTGGAACTGAAAACCTGAAATAAGGGAGCCAGGGAAGGTGTGCTTGAGAAATGCCTGATTTCAGGGCCTGAGACCCATCAATTCTAGAAAAGGCCTGGAGTTTTGTAGATCCCATCTTTTCAGTTACTAGAACCTGACCCATTTCTGACTCCTTTCAAGCTGTTTCTGAAACCGTCTACTATACAAACGCTTTAAAAAATTGGTGATAGAAAAAAAATAGTTACAGTATAGCCCTGAAGCAGGGGCAGAAAATAACGATGGAATCATTTGCAGGTCAGGATTTTCGAGCACCGAAGAGAGGGACGGGGAGCGTAAACCACGTGTTTCATCAGCTCCGATTCCCGAAAGGGATACGATAAGGGAGCTGCTTGGAGTAAGGCGAGCTCCCGGCCTGTGCTCTTCAGCGAGAGCCCTCTGCCCTTCCCCGGCCCTTTCGGCCGGGCCGGCCTCCGGCCAGACGCGGCGGCCGGGGGGCGGCCGGCCCCGCGCGCGAGG